TTCATTAAAAATAATATTTTGAAAACAGTAAAAAAAATTTGTCTTTTCTTCTGATATTTTTGTTTATAATAATATTTATATCCCTGAAAAATTATATTAAATAAAAATAAATTATATTTTTTTAAATAAAAATATATATTATTAAATAGTAAATTAAATAATAAAAAAAGTATTAACACATTTTTACTTTAGTAATCTTGACTAAATTATTATACAAAATATGAAAAATATGTGATAATATGTGAAAAAAGAAAAAATAAATTGAAAAAAAATTACTTTTCATAAGAATAAAACTGTAATAATAATAATAAAATATATTTTAGAAAAATTTTTGAAACAAAAAAATTACAATAGTAATAGAATATATGTTTAAAAAATTACTGAAAAAATAAAAAAAAAATTGATGTATAACACATTACATTTATAGTCTTAAATTTGTAGAATAATTTTTTAGTGGCAATTATGATTAAATAGATTATTTCAGCTAAACAAACGAGCCTTTTGCATTTACTCTGTTCATTGCAATTTGATTTTGGAGGTTGAGGTTAAAGGCTAAAGAAAGCATCATGTCATTTTCAGCTCAATTTATTCAATTTAATTTAGAAAGTTTCTGATAAGAATAGCTAATTTTTTTTATTATAGTATTTTCTTTTTCTCTTCCTTTTTTTTTTTTTTTCTCAGTAAACACAGTGTAAGATTCATGATCATCAGAGACAAAAAGTTCAATATATAAATTTACCCCCAAAAGTTTCTAATATCAAACTCAACTTTTGAACATGTTTTTGATAGTTCAATTAATATAACTGATGCAAAATTAGCATTACATATGTACAAAAAACGAAGGGGCAGCTTAATTTGGACCCCAACAGCTCAAATACATGACAGTTCTAAGTGCTTCCTCTGACTTCTTCAACTTCTCATCATCTCTCAGTTTCTTAGCCAAAGCAGAAGAAGATGGAACAGAAACCTTCTTAGCTTGAGAAGATGATCTGATATTGTTCTTGACATGCTGTTGTATTGACCTTAGACCATAATTCCATCTACAAATTCCTTGATCTTTCAATGCCTCAACAGCTCCGATGCTAGCAGCGCTATCCAAGCTCTTGTTGAAGAACTCATGTTTTTCTTTTTTCTATGCTTTTGGGAGGTGATTGAAATGAAAGCAGAAATGGGTTTTTTTTTTTTTTCGAAAATTCAAAGACTGGTTTTCTGGCTGTGTTTTGCTTTGCTGAAGCAAATTGGAGGGTGGGTAAGAGTTTCTTATATAGAGGAAAGTGTTGGAAAAAACCAGAGATGGTATTGCCTAAACAAAAGGAAATAGCCAATGGTTTCAAGCAGTACAATAGGCTAGTGGTATTATAATAAGATTAATGATTTTACTGTACATCCCACGATGGAGACAATAATAGTAAAGAAATGGATAAAGTAGAGATGATGATGGTTGGAGGAAGGAATTGCTATGGACAAAATCCCCAAGATAAGATTTTGGCATTGTTATCTATTTCTTCTGTGTATGGGATGACCCATGAGCCCTTCACATCGAAGTTATAAGTGAATAAATTACTTCATTGATTTGATGTCAATCATGATTCTTTTTTTTTTTTTTAAATATTTTGCAGATAAAATCTAAAAATAATGCGATTGGGAAAGGGGAAAATGAGATGGGCTTGTTCTGTTTGGGAGGTTCAAATTCTTGTTCATTGATATATATGTATTGATTGTTTTCTATTTTTCCTTCATAATATTGTACTAATAACTTTTATGTTGAAATTCATATCAAATCCTTTCCTAAACAATAAATTACCACAACTAGACAAAATGATTAGAATAATTAGGGACAAGCAACAATCTAAGCATCAATTTGAAAACCTTGGTTGAAATTAAGCAAGAATTAGATCATAATTTTGTTACAAATTACAAATTCTTCACTTCAGCACTATTAGCAATTACTCTTATCTAAAGGCAAATGTGAAGAAGAATCAATAAAATCGACATCAATGATTCTGATGATCTGAAAGAAAAAGAAAAAAAGAATCAATCCATTTGCTAAACTGTACACTCAAAGTGGCATACTATCCATTGCATGGCCATGTTAAGGTGATATGATATGAAAGAACCACAGCCACAGCACTAGGGCAGGTAAAAGCCGGGAAGAATTGGGTAAAGAAGGGGCATAGATCAGATTGCAGGAGCTCAAGTGCTTAGCTGAGTTGAGTTATGTCAAATTCATCAGGAAATTTGAACGTGTCAGCTGCTCCGAACTTTCTTTTTTCTTCCCAATCATCGTCCAGAGATTCTCCTTCGTCAGCACTATCGTTATCCTCATCGTGACTGATAGGTGAAGAAGGATTGTACACACTCTGGGAGCGGCAAAATGGGGTAGCAAGCATGCTTACTTGACCAAAGTGAGATATTTCCACTACCACTGTGTCATCATCTACTGGAAGGGGTTGTTTCCATGGTTCTCCATCGATCCTCATAAATGTGTGATCGGCTGCACCCTTTTTAAACTCAAATCGGACTGCATTTGCCTATATGGAGACGAAGATTAGATTGGAAAATAATGCCAGAATAAGAGAGGAGACAGCTAAAATGGTTAACAGTTTTTGTTGTAGAGTCATGAACCTCGTACCTGTGCTAAACGAGTCCCGTGTCCATTTGGCGCAAGCAAAACTAGCCCATGCAGGACATTTCTAAAACCGACTATCTCAATCAGGCCATCATCTACAAAAGGAGGAGTCAAGCCCCTCTGTAAACCAAAATTGGCAATCAAAACCTTTGGGTGAGATGTCAGTCCAAATCTAATTACTACAATTTCAGCTATGATTATATGATTATAAAGGAAGAGAGAGATCGGAACAAACATCATGAAATTTCTTCCTATATGGTTTTCCCCAAGGATTGAATCCACCAGAGAAACTAGGCAAATTTAGGCAGACGATAGAGCCAATGCTGTATAAGAAAGAAACTGGTGTTATGAGAATTAGGACTAAATGAGCAATTGAAGTGTTGATTATAATCATAAGAATGCATACAGGTTATACATGATTTTCACCTGCGAGGTATGTTGAGGTCCTCCCATTGGCCTTGTTTCTTCATAATCTTAACTGTTGTTAGCTGAGCTATGCTCCTGTATTGACATTAAGACATTGTCATAAACACTGGCAACTCTGACTTGAAAGCTTACCCAAGAAATAAAACAAAATAGAATAATCCATTTGGAAGGATATAGACATAAAAGTTAAATGCTCAGTAATCAGGTAATTGATGCACTAAAACGAAGCATGCATGGTGTCGTTCAGCAATGAGACATTGTTTTAAACATATGAAATAAAGCTCTTAGAAAATCACAAGTATCTAACATATAGACAAATTTCATGGAGTAGAGTGCCGTACTTTTAAATACAAGATCAGTAATTCAACCTTGCAGCATTACAAATCTAGCAGGACCTTGTATACTAGATAAGTAGTTAGCTGAGTAACATGACTGATAAAACAGAAAGACATGTGAAACACTTGCATGATACTGAAGAACAAATTGGTATCTGTATCTTCAGTCCTTTGCCCAACAGTCGCTCCTATGAATTTTATTACTGACAAAATTAAAATAATTAGAGAGCCGAGACGTTTTAAATATCAAGCCATCACACATGTTCTTCTAAACAGGACAGGAATTTATATTGCCAGACATCTGTAAGAAACTCACGTTGATGAAGGACGAAAAGAGAAGCGAAAAGCCAACCTTGAGTACATCCAAGCTTTACATAAGTACTCTGCTTCATCAGAAAGAAATAAGTAGTTGTCTAAGTTTCAGAATTGTCATGAGGATTATCATACAAGTGAAGGGAAACTTAAGACAGTTAAAAACAAAAAGATCATGTTATACACTATATTGTTAGTAGGCAAGTTACACCTACATCAATACATAAAATAATGTATAAATATATGGGCTTATATTTGATGCATTGTCAGTATATAGATTCTATATAAAGAGATCTTCAGTCCAATACACAAACATATGAGAGAGGGGGAGAGGGGAATTTGTATAATCAGCATTGCATTTATTTTTTCAGCTAGGAGCATAGTACTAAGCATGGATATGGCTAAAAAGACAACCTAATATCTGAACATTTTAAGATTATGCCGCATTTCAACAACCTTTATCAAAACAGAAAACAAATGTTTACCTGATTAATTAACTGATTTCTGAATTTTTCTGGGTGCAATTTCCTCTCAGAGTGAAATGCATATGATATTTGTGCATCCATTCCTGAACAGAACACTCTAATTAGACTTATTTGATAGTACTATAACCAGCTGCCAAACAAAATTCACATGTAGAAATTATTTTGGGCTGACTTCATCCTTGTACAAACGAATTATTGGAGTATAAAGCTTGGATAAATTAAATTATACTATAATACTTAGAAGTCTTGTATAGAAAATTGCAACGCCCTCAAAACCTCAATATAGTAATCAGAATAAAGGTTATTGCACCAAGATCACTGGACAATCAGATAACAAACTGCTGACAATCATATGCAAATGCAATACAGCTGTTAGGCTTACTTCCATGGCTAAATCAGCATAAGATATTTAAAAGGATAGAAAAACTATAGTTGTTTCCATGAACTAAGCATAATTTTGCAATTATTCTCTCTCCCATCAAAGCACTTTAACCCCAAAAAATGCCTCAAATGACCTATTGCATTAGGGACCATCTCAATATAATTGACTGTTCAAGCAGCTCATGCCCATCATGTCAGGGACAAAATGGTACGTTGGATGGATCTATATATCAGGTTCACTTGAATACTGCTACGTTGGACTCATAAGGGCTTAAGTTGAAGACACTAACAGATGGGTAATCACTGACTACTACTCTGACCAAGCCGAGTCCTGAGAAACACTAAGAGTTTCCACATCAGCATAAGATATCTAAAAAGATAGAAAAACTATAGTTGTTTCCATGAACTAAGCATAATTTTGCAATTATTCTCTCTCTCTCATTAAAGCACTTTAATCCCAAAAAATGCCTCAAATGACCTATTGCATTAGGGACCATCTCAATATAATTGACTGTTCGAGCAGCTCATGCCCATCATGTCAGGGACAAAATGATATGTTGGATGGAACTATATGTCAGGTTCACTTGAATAGTGTTATGTTGGACTCATAAGGGCTTAAGTTGAAGACACTAACAGACGGGTAATCACCGACTACTACTCTGACCAAGCCAAGTCCTGAGAAGCACTAAGAGTTTCCACAACATGAGATGCTTAAATGAGTAATACAGAGGTACATATCTGTATATCGACATGTCTTTAGCAAATGGGAAAATCATTCATTTTCTAAAAATGTCGAAAATTATGAAATTCACATAAGTGATTATATTTCTTACCCATGCTGAAGTAGTTCCAAAATCCTCCACGATATGTGTGATAACCCTCCTGAGAAGTGAGAACATCCAACAAAATTTTGCCAATAAGCATAGAAAGCAACCCAAATTCACGTGAAGCAAGTAAACACTAAAGGGGAAACCAAGCATTTAAAAGATGATTTGAACCGCCATATCAGCAACTTTCATGTTTTACTTGTAATTATTACCAGGCTCACAGATCTTATGGTAAATCAAATATATAGTGATTTTTAATGGCTTATTAGTATTATGTAAAACGAGAACTCTGAGATTAATATTGGAACAACAGATTTAAAATAATTAAAACAATACAAACTCACAACTAGAGGATCAGGGCATAGGATGAGATATAAATCTATTCAACGTGTTGATGCCGCTATTAAGTAACTAGAAGATACCCTTGAGATTGGCTCATTTTATATTTTCATCATCCACCAAAGGTTAAAGAAGACAAGAATAGTTTAACGAAAAACAAAACCAAAATATACTGAAGCAGGACCGCCATACAACTGCCTTTACGTAAACATACACACACACACACACACACACACCAATCACTGCAGTCAAAACATATAAAATGGAAGAAACAGAAAAAAGAGTATGCCAAAAGGGAGCCAAAAAATAGAAAACAGAAACATACCATGCTTAGTTTGTCTGTTTGAGAGATGCGATGAAACTTATGCAAAGAATGGGGTAGTTCAAGAGGCCCAATAGGATCACAAGAACCTTCCTCAGGGGTCTTCATTCTCATGATAATGTGCCAGCTGAAATTTCATTGAATGAACTGTAGCATTAATAATCGAAAGGAAAATTGAAGTTTCCAACACATAAACAACTGAATATCTTTTCCCATTATGACACGGTAAAGCATAACCATATCAAAATAGAAGTAAAGGAAGAATTGCTAGTATAACATCACTATTTAATCTAGGTTCAACCAAAAATAAATTCTTTTCATGTTCATTAAAAATTTCGAAAAGTTCTGGCAGATACCAATTTTCTTCATATTAAGCTCATAGTATTGCACAGTCATATTTGCAAAGCCACGTCATATGACGTTAAAGGCTTTGGAGGACGATGAAAAAAGTCAAAAAAGGGGCAGGAAGATTATTTGGTAGCAAAAAATTTGAGTGGTCAACTAAAAATAGTTTAGGAAAATTGCACAAAAACAAGAATAAAGCTCATAACAAGAGTAACAACACAACAATAATCTCCATACTGAACTCCTTAATCAAGTTTCTATGAACTAGATGCATGCCAGGGTCATCAAAGACTATCTCATGCATCTAGTAGGACGTTCAGACAACTTTCTTATTTTACCCCTTCCTCAGCCTTAAGATAAAGCACTACGGCCTGCTTAGCAGGAAGCAAAAAACATGTAGAAGCAGTTAGCCAGAAAGATAACAGCTAAGGAGTTTGTTACCTGTCGATTTTCATTTCCTTTGCAGTCTTTACTTGCTCCAAAAATGACAATACAGATTGGCGGTCTGTACCAGGATTTTTCTTTCCCTGCAAATTAACCAAACACAAGGTATAAAATTCTGACTGAGTTGAATCAAGTCTTCCAGTACATACATGTCAATTAGAACAACCATTTCCAGAAGAGTGCATGCTAGTAACTGATCGCTAAAACCTAAAGCAACTACTTATTGTCATCCATTCATTCAAGGAGATTGAAAAGACAGTTTGGCATCACTGACAACAATAAAGTGAACACAGTTTGCAGCATAGGTGTCAATTTCCTGCTTGGAAAGATTACACTTGTTAATTCTGTTTCTTTTTATGCCAATACCAATTAATAAGAGACTGACAAACAAAACAGGGACAAAAAGGAAACCATCGTTCTTAGTAATAAAAAAGAAATTATTCACCAACTAGACAAGTTCATGATTTACAAGTCAAAAGACACTGTTAGAATGAAAGGGAACAAAGATAAAGAAAAGAAAATTAACCTGCAAAACTTTTGAACTAACAATTAATAAAATAAGCTAGATTAGACAAGTAACTGAGTAAGCATCATCCTACCCAGCCAAAAGAAAAAGGCAGATTGTTTCCAGTTCCCAGAGGCACTGTAGCAACTGGAGGTGGATGAGGGAGTTTAAGATCGGATATTACACCAAGAAGCCAGCCGGCTGTTCCATCGCCACCTGCAACCTAACAGTCTAAGCATATATTAGAGATAAAGTTTTAGGTTTGATATCAACTGCAGTCTTGCACAACATAGACACATATATGTGATGTACATGTATGTTATTAAAGAAGACAAACAACCTGATAATAAACATAACCAGCTACTTAACATGTCAACTCACGATTATTCTCAAGCTACTCAGAATATCTGAAGCCAAAACATCCCCACGCTGCTTAAGCATTCCCAGTGTGGCATAAATTTGGTGTAGCACCTTATCAGGTTTCGTCTCTCCCAAATCAAAAACCTGAAAATCAATCAACCAAGTTTGATTGAGAAGACGAACATTCAGTCACAATTGCATTATCCTTTAAGAGCAAGCAGATAATACCTGGTTTTTGTTAAGGACAGAACGATAGGTAAAAAGAAGATCTCCACCAATCTGTCCACCGCTTTTGGAGTTGATAAACACTAACACTGGACACGAAGATACCCATGGTGGTTTCTTTGCTTCTGATCCAGGAACAAGTATATAATTTGGGATGTAGTAGTCTTTCAAAATATGGTTCAACTTAGCATCACCCATCAGAACCTCCCAACTGCAGGTTATAATATAAGAAATGATCAACAAACTCAGACTACCATTAAAAGTTCAAAGCAATCATGCGCATACATCAACATTGTGCAGGTGTAACAAAAAAATTAGGCAGGCAACATAAGCCTTCGAAAGGATAAGCAAAAAGTTGGGCAAAAGAATTCAATAACCGAAAAATAATTATGCCACTCAATGAGCATTTCTAGTCCTCCGTCAAATCCTTCTCCTTTCGGTTTATATAGAATTATACAATTAACAATTGAAAAAATTGCAAGAAAACTTGAAATAAAAGATATCTAAACATGCAATTCTGATTGCAATGCACCAAAGACAGTGTCATTCCACACCATAAACAACCAATTTTAGGACTTTTTATCAACAGGGAGAAGATTCCACTATGTACTGAATAGTGATCCAAATAATGGAACATATTCTAAAAGTCAGTTATATCTATAAATTAAATTATATGCATTAATAAACAGCAAAAAACAGCACTTAAAACCTTCTAGAAAGAAAACTACGAATATCTCTAGCCATGAGTTGTGATCCCAAGGACAATTCAACCAAGGCCTTCCCAGGGAAAAATAACAATTTGTTATTCAATGCCATTCTTCTTTGTCACAAAACCTACAAAGAAAAACTAAAAATGAAACACAAATTAAGCATAAATCATCAAATGCACGATTCCTCTTCCTTTTTTTCTCAGTTTTCTGTCCACCATATAATGAATCAGCTCAAATAAGCTAAAAAAAAAGCAAAATTGAGCTCAATATCTTCCAAAGCACGCGTTTACTTCGTTTTTCGCTCGCTTTTCTCTCCTATGTCATCAGCAGACAATTAAAAAAACGCAAAAATAAGCTCAAATATCTCATAGTTCTTGATTTTCTCTTAGTTTTTCCTTCGATTTTCTCTCCTTTATCATTAAACGAATAAGAAAACATCAAATAAACTCAAAATCCTCAAATACGCACTTTCTCTCTTTCTCTCTCACTTTTTCTCTCTTCAATAATAAAAACACAAAAATCACAAAATAAAAGCGTGAAAATTTCAAATCCACGCTTCCTCTTCTTTCTTTTCCCTTAACTTTTCGTTTTAAATCAACCAAACAGATTCAAAGCAGGAAATTTTGGTTTTAATTCAAGTAAAAATAAATAAATTAAAAAAACACGATGATGCTTTACCTGAAGAACAAAGAACCTGTAGCGTACTGTGGAGGAAGATAACCGTAGGAATCAAAGCTCAAGATTCAAACCAAAATCAACAATGCTTCTTCTTTTTTTCTTTGATTTTTTTAGTTATAAAATTCGAAACGCAGATCGCTTGGAAAGTGAACAGATGTGAATTAAAGGCAATAAATAATGAATATTAAAAAAAAAAAGAGAGAAAGAGAAACGAAGCTTCGGCTTTCGTTTTTGTTAAACTATGGCTGCCGTCGTCGTTTTTTGTTTCTATTTTCGTCATTTTTAGACGTTCTTCAATTTCAAAGATGTTCGGCCAACGGACAAAAAAAAGGAAAGAGCAGGGGGCGGCGATATAACCAACGGTCGTTAATTGGCTGCGGCATGGTTTAGGATTTGATGAAAGGAAGACAGAACGGAGAGTGACACGTCACACGAAGGATGAAATCTGGGATAAGTGATTGGTTGGTTCGGTTTGAGAGAGTAAAGGAGTAGTCCCAGGGAACATGGGGGCCTGTTTGGATTCTACTGGGCCGACGAATTGCAATTAGATAAAACTCATAATTTAAAATACCTTATATAAATAACATACAAAAATAATATATAAAAATAATATAATTTAAAATGTTAATAATAATTATATATAAATTTAATAAAATTAAAAAATATATTTTATATTATAATATAAATACATAAATTTCAAAATTTTATATAATGTTTGGATAATATAATCTGTACTGCAATTGAATTTTTGGCCATGCTGGTGGAGTGGACAAAAGGGGTCCAGTGGACCACTGATATATGCATTAGACTTTTTATTTCATTAAAAAAATTTTATCTCCGTTTTACCCTTAAATGAGTTTTTATTTACTAAAAACCTAACATCTCTTTCTTAATATATTATTTTAATTTAAAATAATATTTCATTATATATTAAATAAAATTTTATATGTTAAATAACATTAACATTTAAATAAAAATAATTTTCAAATATTTAATAATAAAAATATTATTTGATATAAAATTAATTTTATTAATTTCAAAAATATCAAATGTGTACTATCAAATTTATTATGTATAAACTTTAATCTAATATTCTTAATAATAATTTTATTTTCTCATAACACTCTTCTTTATCATTACTATTATATTTACATCTAAATATATATCTAATTATTACTTTTAAAATCAATACTACAATATTCACTTTTATCATTTCAATAATTAAATTTTTTTATTAGTATTTTTAATTTTATCAAAATTAATTGTACCGTTGATGTCGGTTTCAATTGAAATCACAAAAGAGGAAATGACGTGTGGGGCTTCGTTCTTGTTGTAATTACTTTTTTAACCTTGTCACTTTCAATTTCTAGTTGTCTTCAGCATGAGCCAAGAGTAGGCCTGTAAATTTTATATAACAAACCCATTTCTCTCTGTAGAAAATGGTCCGATTTAGCTTCAAAGCTTTGTTAGAGTTAGACGGAAATGTTTATATATCGGATCGGGTTTGGTAGACACCTTGACAATATAGACCCGAAATCGAGTCCAACTTGATTTATGTTTAATAGTAAAATATTATAAATTATTTTTACATTAATATTTTAATATAATTAAATAAAAATATATTATTTATTAACATAACAATATTTGTAGGTCAAATAGAGCACGGACCTTGAAATTCATATCCAAAGTCTGGCTTGAGTTAAACTTGCCTCCTAACACAATTTGAAATTTAATAATATAATTAAAGACTATAAACAGTTGAAAAAATTAAATTAATTTTTTTTCCTTGAATAATTAATTGGCCTATATGCATCAGCAAGTCAATGACGTATATGGATATGACTTGTTCACAAATGGGAATGATATGCAAACAAGAAAGCAAGCTTCATGCATTGGTCAAATCTTTACCTAAAGAAGATAATACAAATAATTTAATTGTAATAGATTCTTTCCAATTCTTTGAATTAATGTGTCCATATGTGCCAAAACTGGAGACAGAAGGCAAAGGTTGTGGTTTCAAAAAAAAAAAAAAGACTAAATTTTTAGATAAGGCCAATTGGTAAGGTTGATTTTGTGAATTATAATCTCCCAAATGTCTCAATTATTCCAATCTTAAGCTTGCTTAGTCTTAAAGGAGATGGGTTAAAAAGTTGAATCTTTATTATATAGGTCAATGGTGTTGAGGAATTAGTGGGACTGCAAGAGTGATTATTGGAAGTCAAATTGTTTGAAATTTTACAAGAGAGACTGCAAGGATTTGCTATGTAGTTTATGCAAATTGAGAAAAGAAAAACAAAATAATATTAGATAAAAGATAAGTACATGACTTTGGAAGTAAAATTTTTAATGTGTTAGATCGAACGTGAGAGAGTAAGCGCGCTTTTAAAATCATCCGAATAGGAGATTAGGTTTAAACAAAGCTAAGAGACACTTTTGATCTTATTACAAAAAATTTTCTTAACATTTGGTGTACGTGAGGTACCGATCAATATATTCTTTTTGTTACGTCTGAAGCAATAATCACAATAATACAGAAGTAATAGATAACAATTAATAATAAAAACGTAAAAAAAATAAAACACACCAAGATTTACGTGAAAAATTTTTCAATGTAGAGGAAAAAAATCACGGACTACCAGAAAAATCTTCACTATCAAATAATAGGTATACAAAGTTTTTCTCTAGCTAAAATTAGAGCTAATCAACAACTAGAGAAAACAATTGATGAAATCTCATCAAATAAGTGACTCAACAAATATACCTTGAATTTGTTTCTAGAGAGCTTCAAACCCTATCTTCACCGTTCAGAATGTAAAACTTTAAATCATAAACCTCCTGACAATGTTCCAACTCAATCGGATCACGGATCGACTTTCCGTTCAATGCAACTCTCCTTTCTCCTTTTTCTCTCTGCTTTTTCTTCCTTCTCTACTTGATTTTCGATACACACAGAACAATCCCACCTCTTTTTTTATTAAGTAGTTAAGGCTCTGTGTAAAATGAAATATCAAGATTCGTGACCTTTACTTGATCTAAAACCACTTACATAAGGCTGGATCTCATTTTCTTAATATTTTTTAATCACAAATTAATTAACAATAATTGGGGCAATAATTATTGGATTTGGAACTTAATTAATTTAGAAATATTATTTCAGTCATAGTTAGTAGAGTATTAGACTCCACAAATAGAATTACTATATTAAAAATTTCACAATCTGTTTATAAAAATGAATTCATTAATTTAATTCAACATGTCAACTTACATAATAAAGGGTAAGCAAGCCCTAGATTTAGGACAATTTACTCAATTAGATTGCTTTTAAGGTATATAATTTGTGTTAAGAAAGAGTATGGTGTTTCCAATGGCAAGACAAGAATCTTATTTTAATATGTAATGCAAAATCATTTGAAAAAAAAAAAAATCTTATTAATTAGTGCTGATTTAATTCATCAATTATCAAAAAGAGAAGAATTTTGGCATAAAAAATTGATTGGCAGCCTGGCAAGATAAGACAGATTATTGGATTAATTAAATATTTAGTCAGCTACTAACTTATTTGGTCCCATTGCAAATCTCATTGACTCTTACCTTTGTGATAGCTTCTAAACATATATAAATTTTGAATCTTATCATCTGAAATGTTTATTGTGATGTGATCATGATATTAAACTCTCTATAAATAACATTATTTTGACATATTTTGCCTTTGGATATTATACAAAATTAATGTGCATAATTTGTGTAAATAAGTCAAATAGTGAATGAGTCGGATCGATTCGAATGGATCAAATTCAATCAAACTATACAAAAGTTTTGTATAAAATTTAATCAAGTTCGATTTATTGTACTCAAGAGATTTGATTTTTAAAAATATATATTAAATATTTAAAGATATGAAAATATTATTATTTTAAAATATGTTTTAAAGTTAAATAAAAAATAAATTTTATTATTAAAACAAAAATTAGACTCTTTTTCTAAAGCTAATAAACGACTCAAATTAAACTCGCGAAACAAATAAATAACCCAATTCAAGGACAGATCTATTCATATATATAAATTTATATATTGATTGAAACATTGAATCTTTTACTCGTCATCATAGCTAATATATATCTGATTCTCTGTTTTCCGAATAGTGCCAGTAAAAGTAGGTGAATTCTTCAGTTTTGCACATGCATATTTGATTTGGTTAACAAACTCTTCAGTTCTAGTTTGACCTGCAAACAATTTCTTCAGCAGAAACAAGCTTTCTGCTCATCATCCATGCACATCTGCAGAAATATATTATCTGATTTCTATATATAATTTCTTCAATTTCCAATCCCATGCTTTTAAAACATACAAAAATCTGATGCAATGCTCACCAAACAGCCACATCAAAGCATTGTTTTTTTTTTTTTTCTCAGAAAGTTCATGAAATTGCCGCTGCTTCAAAGTCAGGTGTCTTCTCACTGAGAAATTTCCTTCTAAAATATTCTTCAAATTAAAAAAAAAAAAAAAAACTTGGGATTTGATTCTTGAGTTGTGCTTGATGATCAGTTCCTCCTAAAATATACTTCAAATTAAGAAATTTTTTTAATAAATCTCTTATGGATCGTTACATGGACGTGGAGCATATTTCATGTAAAATAATTTTTCTAAAAGAAGAAATGGAAATTAAAAAAAATAATTGATACGGATTAAAATCCACAATATAGGAAGGACAATACCTAGTCCATATCTCGCATACGTAATTTGCATGATATAAACCCTAAAATATATATGAACCATCAACCATGTACGCATATATGAGAGCAAAATCTAAAAAAAAAAAAATCAAATAATTAAATTAAGTTGCTTTTGATTAATTAATATATACAAACATATTATTATTATTATTATTATTATTATTATTATTATTATTATTATTATGTTTTAGATAGTCTATCGAATTCGTGTACTATTTTGGTAAAAAATTCACCGATGCAAGACTCTTGATTTGTCTGAAAATTTTCATGCAACCAACAACTAAAATTTTAGAACAAAATTTTACTACAATGACTATTATTTTTACTTCTTCATCAGCCAAAATTAGAATTCTTTGTGTAACATATCAAGTATTATAAGTGTACAATATAATGTTGTAAACATATGAAATCTCAAGGTATTTCAGTAAAACCTATGAAAATTCCCTAGCTACCAAACATATAAGGACAGTATGATTAGGTTATGGTTTCATGAAATTAACTAATATTAGTGAAAGTAACAAGTTACTAGGAAGTATAATTGAGTGTTGAAAATTAAATTGTGTTTAAGGTCATTTTCATGAATAATGCAATTGGGTTTATCTAGGAATATAAGGATATCTACCAACTAATTAACCTGGCTAGTTAGTCTTCCTCTTCATGTTATTTCATGAAAAATTCATAATTGAAAGAATTAATTACTTATATATTTATAATTCTATATTATAGTATTAGTCTATTAGACAGAAGAAATCAAAATATATTATAATTAAATTTCT